CGGGGTCGGCGAGGATGTCGAAGGGGCTGTCCTGTCCCTGCTGCGCCTGCGGCTGCGGACTGGAGTCTACGCCTGTGTACGAAGACGACCTTTCGGGGGGCGGTGGCGGCTGGGTCAAGGCCCCGCGGGGGGACTGGGGGGCGGCCGGGGACACGTAGGGACGGGGGCTCCCCTGGGAAAGGGACGGAGACGCGGGAGATGCGTAGGACAACCGAGGGGACTGAGGGGCCGCAGGGGACACGTTGTTGCTTGCGTATACCTGCTGCTGTTGCTGTTGATGATGAAGATGATGCAGCTGTTGCTGCTGATGTAGTTGCTGTTGCTGATGATATGTTTGTTGCTGAATCTGTTGATGCTGATGCTGGAACTGCGGCTGCTGGTGCGGGTGCGCCCCCGGGGACTGAGGTGAGACAGTGGGCGGGATGTAGGGGCGGGGGGAAGTGTTGAGGGTTCGCACAGGGGACGCGGAGTGCGGGCGGCCGTTGTGCAGCGAGGGCTCAATCACCTTCCGAGGCACGGCCGGGGAGGAGCCGGGGGGCGCAGGGCTGATGCTCCTGGCGGGGGTGCGGGGCTTGGCCGTGGGAGAGGGCGTGGAAGGGGTGGAGGGGGTGTGGGGGTCCCCGGCGGAGGCGCTCTGCTCGCCCCCCTGGAAGAGGCTCCCCTCCGAGGTGACGCTGTGGTAGCGGATGAGCTCGGTGGGGTTGAGGCCGGTCGTCTTCCAGGTCTGGTAGATGAGCTCGGCCTGGTTCGCGATCTGCGCCGCTATGGTCGACACGTCGTCGGTCTGCATCAGTTCCGAAAAGAGTTGGACGGCTTCATGATGGCGTGGGGCGCCCGTGGGCGGCTCGGGGCCAGGGGCCGCGCGCCCTGCCCGCTTCTCTGCAGCCAGCTCGGCCAGCGTGCCCGCCCCCTCCTCGTATTTCCTCTCTTCCTCTCTGCTGTCTCGCTCTCTCTCGCCCTTCCCGAAGCCTTGGGCCCAACGCTGTACGGCGCGCGCGATGCGCCAGCTCTCAGCAGCGGACGGCTGCTGTTTCTGCTGCCCCGCCTGCTGCAGCGTGTCAATGGGGGTGGGAGAATCTCCCAGCGGCGAGGGGGACGTCTGCTGGGGGCTGTGGGAGTCCCCCGAGGCCTTCCTGGTCCTGGCGGCGGCCTGTTTCCTGCGATTGGCTTCTACAATGTCCAGAATGGCGTCCTTGTCGGGCTGGACGGTCCCGAGGGCGTTGGCCGGGTCAGTGAGGTTCACCACCACGGGCAGACACAGTCCATAATGCGCAGGGCAGGGCGCGGGCGCGTCACACGGCTTCACGCCCACCACGTGCACGCCGCGGCACGCACGCACACGGCACGCACGCAACTCCACGCGACTACTTGCAACCCTGGTGACCGCCGCACGCCCGCACTGACCGCCCACATTCTCAACCATAATAGCCAGGATGCCACGGGCGCGCCATCACCGGTGCCTCGACGCAAACGGCACCTGGTTCACTCCACACACACTGAGCACTGATCACTGCGCGGTCGCACTAACAAAATCACTGGCCCCCGTGACGTCACACTGATCACTGGTGTCGCGGGTCACTGCACTGCACCGCCACCAGCACATCCCAAGCTACGACGTAGGAGAACACGGCACTGCACTGGACCACCGCGCGTTACGCACCTCACCACACTACTGCACGCTTCTAGCCTCCCGCAGCCGCCGCCGCCGCTGCCGATGGTGCTGCCTCGCTCGCCCTGGCACCGGTGCCAACGCCACCCGGCTAAAAATGACACAATAATATTAGCTCGGCGCCATGCCAGACCCTGCACCGCTAGCCATCCCTCCTCCTCCTCCTCCTCCTCCTCCTCCTCCTCCTCCTCCTCCTCCTCCTCCTCCTCCTCCTCCTCCTCCTCCTCCTCCTCCTCCTCCTCCTCCTCCTCCTCCCTGACACTACCTTCCCTGCCGCGAACTGACGCTAGTTCCCAAAAACTCTTGCTGACACTTCCTCCTTCCTGATGGAACTCCACCTGACACTTCCGCTAGTTATTAGCAAACGCATCAGAAGAAGCTGACAGCCTCTCGGCGATGTCTACCTATCGCCTCCTCCCATCTTATCGCCATACGTTTATCTATTTCCTCATCGGCTCCCTTCTCTCCTCTCACTACACCATATGTGCTACTACACGTACAGCTATCCTTCCCTAACCTTTAGCGAGAAACCAGATAATCACTATCATCTATCTAATCACCTTTTTTTTTTTTTTTTTTTTTTTTTTTTTTTTTTACCTATTATCTGCCTATCCTAGTACTTATTTCTACGTGATAGCAAAGTAGTCCGCCTACCTTACCTGAATCTTCTGTCCTCGCTCTCTCTCACTCCCTACTTCATTTACACCTTTTAAACAACCCTTTTCTCCGTGTCTTTTTCGCCGCGACCCGTTCACTCCCGCACCTGCAACCTCCCCTCACTCACTGCCACTCCTTATCTCTCCCGCTGAAAACAACACCCGAAATGACATTCGGCAACTCCTACCTATGGCCTTCACACGATAGCAACTGCGATAAGTCACGTCATAAACAAGCATTCTGCAGTAATCTCCGCCTCACGGAAAATATTAATTTCATAATCGAGCTTCATATCATTCTTTCATATCTCAATTTTCAGGTGTGAGTTCCCCTTATAACACCTTATATCTAATCTTATCTAATATTTAGACACCTACATAGGTATATATCAGGTATGCATCCTTATCTATGTATCTTATCCATAGACTAGATCCTATACATCAACCTAAAATTATCAGCTACAAAGATGATCATTTGACCCGACAGAATATAAAAAAAAACAAAGCGAAAAAATAATTCATATACATATATATGTCAATTTCAATTTCAATATATCACTTTCAATTACATATTTCACATCAGAACAAGGGATGGTGTGCAAGAATCTCGTGCTTGGCCAGTGCTTGACGGCTTCGTGAAAGGATTACACGCAATAATTTCCGATTCCTGTTTCGATTCTGTTTTATCGCCGTTCCTCTTCATTCTTCATTCTTCACTTTCTGGTCTTCTGTTCACTCTCTTCTGGCGACGCGTCTCTTCATAATGCCGAAGACGCGGAAATTTTACACAAAATCTTACAAATTCACAGAACAAAGCAGTAAAAATACACAAGTGCTGATCTCAAGTCCTCCTCATTAGTAATGTGTACGTGACAAACACACGCAGACCTACACGAACACCGTTGGTCTGATACACACACACACGGACAAACATAAATATGCATGCACACGCCCAAATACACTCGCAAAACACCCGCAACCCACGGGTATAAAACACACACAACTCACGCTCTTGAGAATTTCAAGACCGTAACAAAACATTTTGCTACGAATGTTCGGAAACCGAAAATTACCTAAAGATTTATAAGCGTAGAACAAACGAACAAATTACCGAATTGGTCCATCGCTCAACAGCCATTTCTTACGGAAACGAAAGAGAGAGAAGACAGAGAGGAAAGACTAAACGAAAAGAGGCCATAAAGAAAGAGAAAGAAAAAGAGAAAGAGAAAGAGAAAGAGATAGAGAAAGAGAGAGAGAGAGAGAGAGAGAGAGAGAGAGAGAGAGAGAGAGAGAGAGAGAGAGAGAGAGAGAGAGAGAGAGAGAGAGAGAGAGAGAGAGAATTAAACGTAAAAACACCGTCTCTTCCAGAACAACGGCTTCAAAAATGACAATCCATCATTTCCACAGAAGGTGCCACCGCCGCGAATTTACAGTGAATTTACAATGTACAAAACAAACTCGAAACGCAACATCGGTCCAGAAGTGCAACATTCCTCTGAACAAGCCAAGCAAGAAGCGGAGGAGAAGCAATTGCAGCTCAATAAATAACATGCAGAGGAAAGACAGTGAAGGAAGAATGCGATTCTGCGCAGATTATGTAAATAGATTAGATTTTCGAAAACGTCTCCCTCCTCTTCCCTTTGTTTACTCGTTAATTTTTCCCGGTTTCCCTTAGAAAAAAAAGTTACAACATGCAAAGCCTGTTCAATGTCGGAAAAGGGATTGGGTAATTTTTTTTTCTCTTCCGACCGCTCCTTTCCTTTCCTTCCGTCCATGTTTTTCTATTTACTTTTGTGACGCATTTCGTTTCCTTTTTTTTCCTAGTTATATGCTCTCCTTTTCTCCTACATTTTTTATTACTTATTCGCCGAACCAATTTCATCAATTTCCCCATTTTTCGTCTCTTCCTTATTCTCGTGTCATTCCTTCCATCCATTCCCCCCCCCCCCATTTCTCCCATCACTCATATCCTTACCCCCTTCCAAACCCCGTTCGTCCGTCTGTCCGTCTATCCATCCATCCATATATCCATCTGTCTTTTTCCTTTCCCTTCCTTTCCTTTCCTTTCAGTTCCTATCATTTCTTCCCTCCCTCCCTCACGTCCTCCCCTCCTTCTCCTACCTCCCCCATCCTCTCCCAAAATCCCTTCGCCACGCGTGGGACCGACCGACCAACCGACCGACCAACCGACCGACCGACTAACCAACCTACCAGTCGAATCTGCGGTCCACTTACGCAATTTCCTCTCTCTCTCTCTCTCTCTCTCTCTTTCTCTCTCTCTTTCTCCTGCTAATTACAAGCGTCGGCGCGTGGCGTGTGCCGGCCCTGCGGTCGGCTGCCACGTTCATCTCCTATCTCCGCTGCCGCAAGTGCACTCGGCCGCAACTGCCGCAATGGGTTTGGGGATGGTGACACACAAACACAGAGAAAGGGGGTGGAGGCAAAATAACTAGGGAGGGGAAAAAAAGTGGGGAGGGGAAAACCTGGGGAGCAAAAAAAAAGTGGGGAGGGGGGAAAAAATGGGGAGGGGCTAAAAAACTAGGGAGGGGAAAAACTGGGCTTGGGGAGAAATTGGGGAGGGGAGAAAATGAGGAGGGGGAAAAACAAGAGAAACGAGTAGGGACTGCCACAGCAAAATGGGGGAACTGGGATTCGAAAGAGAGTGAGACGGAGCCTGAGGATTGTTTTTATATTTTTCGAATTCATATATATTCTTTCTCAAACAATCTAGATAACAGAAACCTGCAATAACAACAACCGACACAAAACACTAACCAAACAAGTAAGCTCATCGCCTACATCCACATTGACAATCATATAAAATAGAAAAAAAAAACAATAACAGCGCGAGCAAAATTAACGACATACAGATAAACAAACAAATAAGTAAATATTAGAACAAAGTAGATAAATGAATAAATAAAAATACTATCAAATAAGAAAATGAAGATCGGTTGAGTACACACGAAGCCCTCAAACTCACCCTATCTAACAACCAGCTGTATGCATATCTTTAATATCCTCATTCTTATGAACAAATAAAATTCCCCACCGACATCCTGGTTCCCAAATATACCCAGGTAATATCCTCGCATTCGAATTAATTATCCAAAAAAATATATATATATATAATTAAATCTAATTCATCTAAACATAGTCTGCCGCCACGAGAAAAATACCGGAAACCGAACGAAATGAATTGAATTGCCCAAACAAATTCCATCATCCAGAGTGGATTACCCGAAACAAAATGAAATCCTACCAATCCTGCCAACCTGTTTTAGCATGATTAGAAATAACTGGCAATTAGCAATAAAACGAAATGGAGTTTCATCCCAATCAGCGAAACAAAATTAAGCTGAGCTATTTCGTTAAACTAAATGACCCATTTCTCGTGGGGTATGCAACTGGGCAACTCCCCCCCTCCCCCCCATTCCGAGCGATTTACCCGTCAACCCATTCGACGTTCCTGGGAAGGGGGAGGGGTAAGGGGGAAAGAGGAAAAGGGGGAAGGGGGAAAGAGGAAAAGGGGGGAAGGGGGAAAGAGGAAAAGGGGGAAAGGGGGAAAGGAGGAAAAGGGGGAAAGGGGGAAGGGAGATGGGGCTGGCCAGGAGAGAGGAGTAGGAGAAAATGAAGATAAAGAGAAAGGGAAAAGATAATAAAAACGAGTAAAAATAAGGAAGAGGGGAAGAGGGAAGAGAGAGAGGAGGAAGAGGAGGAAAAAGGGGTGGAGGGGAGGAGGGGGGAAACCTTGCAATAAGAGTGCTAAAAATACACTGTACACACGTGTCTTACAAGTTCCGGATACTCATCAGGGAATCCCTAGTATGATGTCTAATTATCCACCTCCCCCTCCTCCCTTTACTCCCACCCTTCCTTTCCTCATTCGTCACTCATAATATTTTTTTCCATTCTTTCTTCCTCCCCTTTACTTGCAATTTATCTATCTGTCTGTTTTTTCTGTCTTCCAACCTTCTCTCTCCCTCTTCATTTTTCTTTTTCCCCTTCTCCTTCTCGTCCTCTCGTTCTCTGTTCTTTCCCTTTCGTTAGTGCTTTCTTACTTCATTTTTTAATCCCATTTTTCCAACTATATTCGTAAATTTTCCTCAATTCAACCCTTCCTCTTCGTTTCATAATTTCCCCCTCGTTCTTCTTCGCCGTTCTGTACGTTACGTCTGCTCTCCCCCTCCCCCCCTCTCTCCCTTTCCCATCCAACTTCAAGCTGCATTTTCCGCTTAAATATGCAACATTCGTCCTCGTCATACCCATCTATTCATGCCTATCTATCTATCTCTTCCTCATCCCTTTCACACCTTCCTCTAAACCAGCCTGAAGAAAATACAACAACATATACAAAAAGCAACAGAATTTTTTTTTAAAATCGTCATTTCGCACGGTCTCCCTCCTCTCCCCTCCCCTCCCCTCCCTCTTCCTCCCCCCTCCCCCTCCCCCACCCCCAAACATACGCAATCCACTGCTGTCAGCATCAATCAACACTCACGCACCGCAGGCTAAACATTCAGAGATATGTGCGGCAAAAGGAGGGGAAGTGAGGGAGAGTGGGTGAGGAGTGAGAGGGAGAGGGGGGGGGGGATCGAAACAGGAAGGAGGAGGAAGGAGAAAGGAGTAAGGTGCAGGGAGTAGGGAGTAGGAAGTAGGAAGGGAAAGGTGCACAGGAGAGTGGGCAGGGAGAGTATGGAGCTAGGCAAGGGGAGAGGGGGGGAGGGGAAAAGGAAGGGGAAGGAGAAGGGGATGGGGAAAAGGAAGGAGAAGGAGAAGGAGAAGGAGAAGGAGAAGGAGAAGGAGAAGGGGAAGGAGAAGGGGAAGAGGAAAGGGATGGGGAAAAGGAAGAGGAAGGACAGGGGAAAGGGGAAGGGGAAAGGGCTTTGGATAGAAACGACGAACTATACGAAGAAAGATGAAGAGGACGCGAAAGCAAAAAGAGAGGACAAAAAGGTAAGACGGAGAAGAGACAGACGAAGAATAACAGAAGAGAGCAGAAGCTGCAGTAGAAATAAAAGATGGAAAAAGAGAGGCAAAAAATAAAGACGGAGGGAAAGAAAAGGCAAAAACAGTGGAGAAGAAAGGAAAATGCAGGAAGGAGAAGGAGAAGAAGAAGAAGAAGAAGAAGAAGAAGGCATCAACGCAATCCCTTTACGAAACAGCGTCAGCGCC